TTAAGCAAGAATGGGGTATTAAAAGCAAGTTTGCTCACCCTTGAAGAACACCTCCAAGAACACAACACACTTGATTACAATAAAAGTGAGTTTAAATCGCCGACACTGAGGTGGTGGTTCTGCAGCAAAAGGAGGTGCTGCGCGACGGGCAACAGCAGCGGATCGGTGATGGCAGATCCAACACTGATGGTGATTGTTGTTGTTGGGGATGGGAGTTTCAACACTAGGGTTTCTATAGGGGAGAGAAAGATAATAAAACCCTAGCTATTGCTAAGTGAGTAGTGAGAGGAGTAGACGGAGAGACGGGGAGAGACGGGGTTTGATTTGTTCAACTGTGGATACTACTATATATATATACATATATATATAAATAAATACTAAATATAATCACACTTAATTAAAATATATATATATATATATAATCACATTTGTTTAAAAAGTGTGATTAAAAAGTAGTAGTGTATATATAATCACACTTTTAATTAGAAGGTGTGATTAAAAAAAATATATATATAATCACACTTAATTGAAAAATGACATAAAAAATAAATATTATCACACTCAATCAAATTAAGTGTGATTAAAATATCAATCTAATTTTTTTTATCACACTTCTAATATAAGTGAGATCTTTTTTTTTGTCAAAGTGTGATCTTTAACTATTTTTGTAGTAGTGGAGAGACTTCAAACTACCTATGATAACTTGAAATAAAATTCAAAGAGATAAATTTAGAGACAAACAAATAGACTTTTCTTGAGAAAATTATAGAACGAGGAGAAACACACTCTCTATCTCTCTAACTCTTACACTCTTTTCTTCTTATCTCCCACACACTGAACTCTCATAATACAACAACTATATATAGATAAAACTAATAATGTAAAGGCATGACAATACAATCTTATTTTGATTTTAAGCCTACAAATCTTGACTTTCCATGCTTCAGCAAATCTTTGATCACAGATTTCTGTCCAGCGGCTATGGTGGCTTTCGGTGGCTAGGGTGGCTGTTTAGGGTCGTGGCTATTAAGCTTACGTTCCAACATCCCCCCTTAACCTTG